ATCTTAAGGTAGTAAAATACAAAAGCGACAGAAACAGACACTTCCAAAAGCTGCCTCCCTTCTCCCATGCAGGTGGGAGATCTCCCAGAGACTGATGGAGACTTTTTAACTCCCCAGCCTTACATTCCCCTCAGCAGTGGGCTGCAGGGATGTGTGGGATGTACCCAACAGCCTGGGCTGCACAGGGCCAAGCTGGCCTGTAAAGCAGAGGCAGCATCTGCAAGAAACTGAGCTAACAGGCAATTGCAGGCTCCAAGTTCACCAGCATAAGAACAAAAGAAAAAAAAGTTAGAAACAAACAGGAAAGGTGAACAGAAATTGAGGCTTCTTTGGGCCACCTTTACATCCATTCTGCCCACACGGTACCAACCATGAGTCCTTGTGTAAATCTAAACAAACCTAATTTGCTTCTTCCTGAGTACCAAAGCAGAGGCTGAGAGAACCCCCAGGATTTCACCCATCCAGTTCTCTGCTATCACAATAAAGTGCAGGCACAACACAAAGGCCTCAGTTTCCCTGATGCAGCTCAATCAGAGCACACTGCACCCCCTTTATTACAGTGAGAAATGCAAGTGTACCTATTGCGCATAAACAAACTCAGACTTTGATACTTTTAGTTACATAAAATCTGCAGCACATAGAAAAGCACCATCCAGTCAATTATTCACTTCTGCTTGCATGGTTTTCTGCTCCAGTCTTGAAGTCACCCTGATCTACATAGATTTCCCTGCATGTTCTACCCACATTTCCTCTTGTAGTTTCTTTTGAAATCCTCAAGGCAGCCTGATAAGCAATTCCATCTCATTGTGTTTCTAAACACGTATGTCACCTATATTTTTAATTTCAAACTCATTTTTCCCAGCATGTACACTGCTCTACTTTGAAACTGCAAAGTCTGCTCTTATCACACCGCTTTAAAAAAAAAAAAAAAAAAAAAAAAAAAAGGAGGAAGAATCAAGAGTGCTAGATTTATGATAAGCTATAAACTATGCTCTGACCCAAGTCATATGATTACAACAGTAGAAGTTTTTATGTATTTTTCCCATTGACATACACCCACGTTTGGCATAAACAAGCTTCATCAGCAACAAAAGGAGATTATTTGGCAATTTCACTGAAGGGAAAAAAAAAGTTGATTTCTAAAAGCAAATTATTTTGACAAAGCAACTTTCTGTTTGGAAGCACATAAAAACCTAGGTAAGTTGAGGCTGAAAAAGGCTTTTTTAATCCTAAAATACAACATGTGTTGAGAATCTTACATAGCTTGGTCATATCCTTTTCCTTACTTTTGTATTCAGTTGCAAATCTCTTGTGGAATGAGTCACATCTCTCTCAAAGCAGCGTACAGTAGTCAGCAGAATCCCCTCAGTGCATTCATGCACCAGGAAGAAAAACTTTTTTTTTTTTTTTCCTAAAGTCACCTTAGAAAGGCAGGGGGGTGATCAGAAATGCCCCAAAGCCGGTTAAAAGTTAAAAGCAATCTGCAAACCATGCCGGTATGAGATGGGGAAGGCTCTGAGGGGGGTTGGAAAGGCAGAGTGTCCCCAGTGAGAGCTGAGCTGGCACATGGCAGCCCTGCTGCAACCCAGAGGCTCGTCCTGCTATATTTAAAGACAATACCTCAACAGTGAAGTATTACAACATTTAAAGTGAGATAAATAAGCATAAGAGACAGGCAAATATCCTTGGTTATTTAATCATCCTGAAAGCAGCGTGGAAGTGTGAGGCTGAGTTCAAAGGTCAAACTCTTCTTTCAGCTTCTTGCAAAGAAAAGAAAGCTCAGCCCATTTTACCTTGGGGAAAAGGGGGCTGCTCTTTCCATATGCCAGCATTTCATAACACAGGAAAGAGGGAGTGTATTTACATATACACTGGATGGAATCTTTTCCTGGGACAATGCATTCCAAATCAAGATTCAGGTTAGAAAGAACTGGGACAACACAAAGTCCCAAAGAACAAAGGGAAGTTAAAATTTACTTAACGTTTCCCCAGAGCTTCTTAATTGCAAACTCTCAGATTTTTTTTTTGTTTTTTTGTAACTAAAAGTTTACTGTAATCACTGGATTGAAAGTCTAAGCGAAAGCCACAGTTCCCTTTTAAAATAATTTCCCCCTGATTACAGTAATAACTTAGCACTTTGTATAAAATATGGTATTAATCTATCAGCGTAGTTCTAAATGAAAATACAGTGGCAAGAGGAGGTATTTCTGAAGGTTAGAATAAGTGTTCAAAAAGGAATTTTTGGAGTGTGATCTAATGAAAGGGGAAACCAGAATCAAGTAGCCTTTTGTGTAAGACAGTCTGATAAAAAGGTGCTAAAGTTTATTATCTTCCCCTCTTTTCCAGCCCCTACCCTAAATCTTGCTCTCCCCACCCCTCCACCAAAACAAAGCAAAACCAAAAAACATTATTCACTTAAAGAGAGAGAGAAAGAAATCCTCTAATGCAAAGCCTGGAAGCCATTCTCTAAAGACTACTTAATATGAAACTTTGTTTACAAGACACCAATATAGCCTCCTTACCACACTCAAAACCAGAAAACATCCACTTATTTAAAGAAATGCTTTTTCTATTTTGATCAACAAGGACGTCGGTATTCATTTTAATTTTAAATTCGGCCCCAACAGTGCCATATGAATGTTTTAAACTCATCTATGATATGCACTGTTTGAGAATGTTTAAACAAAGGAAGTAGGAAAAGCCTTAAAATACACAGCAAAACTTAATGGCTTCAATTTTTAAATATAGCCTGATTGCAGCATGGCAAAATTATTCTCTTATGCTCACAGTCAGCCTTCAGAAAGAATAAGTGCAGTCAGTGGAGTAATTTGTCCCACTGGAAATTCTGTATAAAACATCTACCTAAAATAAACAAGGCTTCGCAGCAAGAATCGTCAGTTGCCATTAAGGACACACCTTAAAGTTCTTACCACACAGTAACTAAACAAGTACAAACTAGTGGGGACTGTTTGCTACTTTTGTCTTAAAAGTTAATGAGATCAATTCACCGCTCAGTATCAGATCCTCAGATCATTTTCTGCAAAATGCAGCAGACAAACAACCCCCAAAACACGAACATCCAGGCTTTGAGTGGCTGATGTGTTATCAGCAAGCCTGAGCTTCTAGACAAGGAGAATAGAAATATTCACATTTAAAACCTGACACCACGTAACAGTAAAAGGTAAAACGCTGAAGTGCTCAGAATCTGGAGCTCTGGTACTGGAAGGCAGCTGTTGTTCCCCTGCCTTTTCTTTTGTTGTGCTTAATCTCATGTCAAGTCATTCAACCAACTCCAAAGCGATGAAGACATAATTGAACAACCTTAACTAAAAACTGATCTACTGTTCCTCAACTGCCATATATGCTGTTTAAAGATTAAAAAAAAAAAAAAAATGCTAACTTATGAAAAACAATCCACAGAATTTAAATCAGCAACTCTGCTGCATGCAGAAGAGTTGCTTGGCTGAAGGCCAAGCCAATCAATAATCACTGTAATAGCCATGGTTCTAAAGTTATTTGTTTTTCATATTCACCACCCTGAAAAACTTAAAAGGCAAAACTTGAAAACTCAGATGGTGATTTCAGGAGAGAGCCTAGAGATCGAAAATCCAAGTATTTTGCTCAGCATGACGAGATTGCTCACTAAAAAAAAACACGTTGCAGAACGATCAGTGATCACAAAGCCACATTCCTGCTACAGATCTTAAAATATTGACTCAGTTACAGAACTAGTAAAGGGGAAGAAAAAAAAAAACCCTCCTCCACCCTCGCCCTCTTCCCTCCCCCTCTGCCAAAGAATGCAGTTTATCCTACTTATTTGCAACTGTCCTTTTCTATTATCCAAGGAAAGGCTGAAACCTCAGTGTGGACATCCCAAATTAAAGTCTCAGTCGTATTCCCAAACCTCCAGTTAAGAAGAGCTCCTAAGAGCAATAAAACATGGCGTTAAAGTATTTGCAAGCCATTGTCACAGCCCTGTGCTCTGGTACCTTTGCAGCCCCAGAACCAGCCCCCACCAAGCATGGAAGCGTTGGTCAGCAAGTCAATGCCTGCTATTCAACTTGTAGTTAGGCGTTTTATTTCTGTGTCTTCCAGATCATATCACTCCTGCATTTCACGGCCTAATAAAATGTGAAGAATGATATGCTCCCTTCTCTCCCCCCACTCCCTGCATCTGAAACTGCGTTATTTCCCCTCTCTTCTTTTTCACACATTCTTACAAAAACTTCCCTTTTCACATACTTCTATAAGAAAATATTTCACTGCAGCTATACTTCAGTTCCTATTTCTATTTTCGATTTTCACTAGATTCTTCTGCTCCTGCCTCCCCCTCAAACCCACTGGTAGAAACTGATGTAGTTTTAAAGCTCTCAAGGTCATTTCAGAAATGAAAAAAAAAAAATGTTGCCTTAAAAAAAAAACCTTTAAACACACAACCCCCCTAAACTAAACCCTTTTCACATTCAAACGCCTTTCATCAGCAGATCAATAACCCAACAGAAAGATTTTTGTTCCCCACCACTTCAAAACTATTACACTTCAATTCAAATACTTACTGGGAGTCACACAGCACATTTTATGGGATGGCTCATTAGAGAACATACAGACCTTACTTTGGGTGCAGGTTTTCTGTGTGGGAGACAAACAAACAAAAAAAGCCTCACACCCCAAACCAGAAAGTCCAGGGGGCATCACGGAACAGGAATGAAATCCAATCTCTGGATATTCTAGAATTTTATTGTCCTCTCCTGGCAACCTCTTTTGTTGCTTAAGAAGTCAGTTGAGGCTTATTTATTTATTTTCTAAACTTCCTATTCCCCTTTAAAAAAAAAAAAAAAAAAAAAAAAGAAAAGAAAAAAAAAAAAGAACACGATGCTAAAGAAATGATCGGGAAGGCTTTGGTCTTTGAAAGACAAAGGTAAATGAAACAAAAACTGGCAAAACGGATCAATAAACTTTTCATTAACAACCCCCCCCCCTCCGCCCCATGAGCCACTTACTACAAATCCTTCTTCCAGGAACATCTTTGACTCACAAAGAAATAAGTCTCTGGTCGCTGCACACCCCCACCCCGGCCGAGAGCGGCCCCCGGGCCCGGCCCGGCGCCTCGGGGGGGCCCAGCGACCCCCCAGGTGTTGGATGGCAGCGCGGCCCCGTCCGGGGGCGCCAGGGGAGGGGGCGGCGGCGCGGCGGCGGCGGCAGCGCGGGGCCAGCGCGAACTTTGGGGTGGGAGGGAGCTGGGGAAGGGCTCCGGCCGCGCCGCCGCTCCGCCCGCCCCGCGCTGGGGAGGGGGCGGCGGGAGGGGCCGCTACCTGCGGCCGCGGGCGGGGCCGGCGCGGCCACACACACCTGGACCTTCCTCCGCCCCCCCGGCCCCGCGCTGCCCTTCCTCCTCCTCCTCCTCCTGTCCCCGGGTTAGCGCGGGGACAGGGGGGCTCCGAGCCCCGCTTCGAACCGGGATGGGGGGGGGGGGCTGCGCCCTAAACCCTTCAGACATCCCGGCGGCAGCGGCCCCCCCGCGCTCACTCGCACAACCGGCCCCTCACGGCAGAGGCCGCCCGAGGGACGGGGCTGCGCCTGCCGCAGGTACCCCCGGGGGGGCGGGGAAGGTGAGGAGGAGGAGGAAGGGGCCCGGAGCCCCCGGCAGGTGCCCCCCAGCCCTGCCTCACCTGAGCCGAGGCGCCGCGGGGCAGCGGCCGCGCCGCGCTCGGGGCACTGTTTGTAAACGGCTCCGCGGCAGCTGTTGCTCGGGCAGCCCCGGGCCACGCCCCTCCCGCTGGGCACGCCCACGGCGGGGCGGGGCCTCCATTGGCCACGCGCCCGGCGCGTTTCAATCAAGGCTGGCCACGCCCTCAGGGCCACGCCCGGCGGTGGCCACGCCCCGTCCCCTCAGGCCGGACCAAGGAGTGATGGACGCGCTTCGAAACACAGCGGCTCCCACCCAAACACGAGCCACGGAGCCGGTATCACCCAGACACAAATCCAGTACACCTCATAAGCATTGATCCTTGCGTGGGTCACTGGGGATATGATGAGCACGACCCTTTTTGTCGTGTGGCTGCAGCCCCCATGATCCCGAGTGCTCACTGAGGGGCCTGGCGCACATCAGGGCTGCCCGAGGAGCAGGGGGACAGAATACACAGATTTACTGCGGAAATTGCCCCAAAAGAGCCGAGGGCTCATCTACTTTTCATTTTTTTCGAACACCCAGCTGCTCTGTCTGCTCCAGAGGGATGGATGCTCCAGAGGAATTCATGAAGTGTGGCAGGCAAAGACTTAAAATACATTTCCGAGTGTCCCACTTGGCACTGAGGAGGTTTTTAGGAGTTAAATGCAATCTGTAATGCTGTTAGCAAAGTGCTTAATCTCCGCTAGACTCTGAGGTTAGCGCCTCCCTCAGTAAATGGGATAAGGAGGAGGTGAGTTTCCATGCGCTCTCTGCTTTTTCCCCCAAAGACACACCGAGACCTGCTAAAGTCAGCTCAGTTTACATCACTACATCTACATCGCACCCGGGAGCTTGTTTCCTTCAATATAAAAATCATCCTGCCTGAATGGAGGACATTTCTAAAATAATTGCAGCTAAAATCATGTGTTTTGGGTTGTTTTTTTTTTTTTTTAATTTTTTTTTTAAAGTTCTCAAAATGTTCTCCCAGTTTAAAACGAGCAACCCCTACCCAGGCTGAAATTTAGGTCGCTTATGTGGCAAATAAAGATTATTCAAAACCATTACAGAATGTGTAATATATACACGGTAATTACTTACCAGGTAATTCTGGAAGGTGAAATATCTTTATTGGCAAATTTGAATGTTGCCTCACGCTGACTTGAAGCAGATTTATCTTCACGAAGTGGTCAAACCTGATAAGACCAAAATTTTAAAATACAGATAATTAAGTCCTGCCCCTTCAAATGGTCATAAGGTTGATGTAGCCTCACTAATTTCCTGAAGTTTAAAAATCTCTGCCCATCAGCTATGTGAACCATGAGGAAAAGGAATTTACCTTGTGCTCCTTCCCAGATTTCCTTCCAGGTGTTAAATCCCGGCCTTCCCACAGCCCTGGATGGAGTTTTGAACTGACAAAGGAGAGCTTACTGCTCAATCCCTGCTAGTTTAATGCGATTTTTTTCTTTTTTTCTTTTTTTTTTTTTTTAGTAGGATGTATCAGAGCCCGGTGTTTATCCGTGCATGCAAAATATTCCTTTGTCTTGCAAGAGCTCTGCGTTTCTTTGGAACTCGCTGCACACCACCTCGCACTATGTGACCAAACCTGATCCCGCAAACACTCCCAGTCTGAAGCACAGGAGCAGTTTAAGTATTGATGATCTCCAAATGGCAGCGAGGCCAGGAGAACAAACCAGAATTTTGCTGGAAATGGGTGTGGGAGGGACCAGTTTTTGCCACCCAAATGACTCTTAACAGTCCGTTAAAAATGTATTCTGTTTGCTATGCTCTGACGTTAGCGTTTTGAAAGACCTTGTATTGAAGAGTTAAAAACAAATTCAAGGCACACAAACTAATAAAAACATTAAATTTGTATTTTTGCTCTTAATTTGGTACTCTTAAAGCCTCCCTGAGTCAGGTGTTGTGGTATTTCTTGGTCTCATGACACACCAAAACCCCTTATTTGCCCCCTCCTTCTTTAATTTTTTAAAAATTTTGCTTTTCCATGTGAAATCTACTGACCCCCTTGATCACAAGGGCTGCTCCCTTGAGCCAGGGCTCTGGATAACTGTAAACATGACTTACCAGAGAACACAGGAGCCACATGGTTTTTATCCACCGAGATATGGGACCTCTGTGGAAAACATAAGAAAAATAAAAAGACTGCTTCAGGGGAAAAAAAAAAAGGCTCAGAATATCTTAAAAACTTTTCTTCTTTTGCTCAAAATGCATCATATAATATCACATTACAGGAGTGAAATGAAAACATCCAATTTATTTTTACAGATTAGCCACGGTGACCTCTGTGATTTATGCTCGTGGAGCTGGAAATGTTTGATATGAGGCAAGGGCCAACTTGGAAAAATAAATCCTAGATTTTCTTCTCCCTCTGTTTTGCCCCGTGTTGAGGACATTTGCTGCCTTTCTGGAGAGGCTTCCCCAGTCGGTATTTTGTGTATGAGGCAAAACCTTCTACACCAAACGCCCTGACAGACCTGTGTTTACTGCTCTGCACTATATGTTACTCCACAGTCTTGCAATATTAAACCTAGCCCCAAAGTAGACTTTAGAACCAGGCAGCACGCCCAAAATTGTGATAATCTCCTCCAGAACAACAGAAAGAAATAAAATAACACTGCTGAAAGCTGACAAGTTTCACTGCAGTCCCCAAACTCCTAACGTACTTAAATGTCTGAGTCCTTTTAAATTGCATTATGTACAATTACATTATGCAAAAATCCAGGCTGGAAGTTTTGTGATCTGGCTCAAGTCCTGCTCTTCTCCGAGCACACAGAGGGAAACCCTCGCTGTCAGGGAGAATGAAAACAGAGCTGAGCAGGCAGCAGGAAGCCTTCACCTAAATTTAAAATCTTTGGAGGGTTGCTGGGGTGTTCGTCTCAAACAACTGACCTGAGCAGCAAAACGTCTGGGCTGTCCCTGGCAGCAATCAGCCAAGCTGCATTCTTCTGCACAGGGACTCTCTCATTTTAGATTCATGTTTAGACAGCTATTAAATCTGGTCTGTCCTGTGACTAAGACACAAATGGGATTTTGGGGAGCTGGGCTCGGTCCCAGCTCTGCCCCAGACTTCTTGTGTGATCTTTGGCAAGTCTCCTCCCAGAGCTCCTGAAATTTCGCTGTTTTGGGGGGGTTTTAAGCCCTGCTCTAGAAGTCAAGTTATTAAATGAAATTCTCTGTTTGCTGGCATGAATACATAAATAAATACACAGTGTTTTAGGCTTTTAAGGAGATAAGCTTGCAGCCACAATCAGAGTGTGACCTAATGGCCGAGAAGTCCTTTTTAGAACTGTTTGGGCTGTTGGGCCATGAGCTGGAATATAAAATCCGACACCCTCCATTTCTGCACAACAACATCTATTTGCAAAATCAGGATCACGTTCCTCCTTCGCTTACAAAATAAATTGTTTGTGCAACGCTCGCACGAGAGCGAGGCCAGAAAATGGAATCACTTATGAGAAGCTTTATCGGCTCGGTTTGTTGTCTCGGGGTTTTTTTTTTTGCACAAATCGCCTCTTTCAGCACGATTTGAGAGCAGATCCCGCGCCGGGATCGCGCTGTCGGGGCGGCTGCGGCAGTGTTTACAGGAAACGCCTGTGCAGGGGCTGCGCCGGCACACTCGGCTCAGATTTGGCCACCACAGGGCTCCCGAGCTGCCCGAGGCACGGATGAGCCACGAGGTGACACACCGGGTCCTGCGACATCGCAGCAGGCACGGGAATGTTGCTCTGTCCCCAGCCCATGCCGAGCCCCCCCGGGCAGCATCAGCTCTGTCCCCTCTGCCCTCCAGCCCCTTCTCGCACAACGCCCCCCGCGCTGTTTGGGCTGTTGGAGGTGTTTGGATGCCCCGCTAAAATTCGCTGTCTGAGCAGCACGTTGAACGTAGAGCAGTTTGTTTTTGTAGTGATAAAGGAGTCGCAGGAGGGTTCTGTCCCTGCTTTATACATCCTGTCTGTGTAAACTCATAGATTTCAAATCCTGCGAGGCGCATTGACAGTCCAGCTATGAAAGATTTTCTGTTTGACCTTGATTTTGTTTTGTTTTTGCCGCATATGAACTTTAACAGACTTCGAGCATGACGTCCTTTCTTTTTCCTTATCACAGCACGCTAGAGTAGGAAAATACAAGTAAACAGAAGCTTCTTCAACAGCACCCAGATTTCTCAAAGAAAACATCTCACTTTTTTCCTCTTTTTACTCAACCTGCAGTTCTGTTCCTGTACTTTGTTCTGCAAATGGATCCTTTTCAAAATGACTGCGCAGCACCACGTGAATGTTCTCTTTTCTTGTAACGCATGGGGTGAAAGATCCCTGGGATCCTCCTGGTATTTAGTCAAGCCCAGGGTTGTTGTTTGACAGGCTCTATCACAACAGCAGTAACAGAAGCATTGTTGCTACTCAGTGATAGAGAATAAAGATTTGTGTGGAGAAATAAAATATTTTCTGAGATGTGGCTGGAGGAGAGAGAAGAGCTCTTCGGCATGCAGCCCTTCTGAAAGGGCTGGGAACAGAAATGAGCTTCACATGCGTCTGTGCAGGGCAGCGAGGGAAGAGAAATGCGTTGGTGAAACACAAATTCTATGAAAAAGGCTGCTCAGGAAGATAAACAGCTCTGGATGATGAAGTCTCTGCCCAGAATGGCTCAGTTATCAGTGCCAGAGGCCTTAAACTTTTCTTGTAACTTTCCAAATTGTCCTTCCCAGTATCACATGGCTTTTA